TTGCCATCACGACGACTAACTTTAGGCAGAAATTAGGAGTCAAAATCACGATGAACGAGTGTGTTCGATTTCGATTACAACACTGCATATGGGAACATCGCTGTGCCAATAGGCAATGATAAATGTACCTATGTTATTTTATATTGCACTATACCAAATTTTTAGGGTTCCGTACCTGAAAAGGAAAAAACCGAACCCTTATAGGATCACTTTGTTGTCCGTCCGTTTCTATCAGTCTATCAAGACCGTTTTTCTCAGGAACGCGTGGAGGTATCAAACTGAAATTCATATCTAATACTCAGGTCTACTGTCCCTTGGAGCTGTGAAAAAATCAAACTTGTAAGACAAAGCAATCAAAAGATACAGCCGTTTATGCCCCAAATTTCCGCAAAATTTTCGAAACTCGCACGGGGATCAAAAGCTACAGGGTACTTCCCGTGAACTTAGAATCTTGAAATTTGGTATGAAAATGAAGTAACGTCTTATAGTACAGATAAAGGAAAAATTGCGAAAACCGTAAATTTTTAGTTACATGTAACGATATTAAATGCCCTAGATACACCACGTGCGCTCAAAATGTGTCCCAATCAAGAAGTGCTTGAACACCACTCAAGCGCTTCTTGATTTACAGTCACGCGCGAACCGTTGAAAAGTAAAGATGCTCTGCGGCATATTTATCTGCTCCGTGAATAAATACGTACAATACTTATAATACGTTAAGTGTCGTTTTCGACAGGTATTTAACCAATGTTTGGTAATTTAACACATTTGAAGCAAATTTTGTTCTAATGTAAGTATTAGATATAAACTGATTTAATAGAAAATAATTGTGATATTTAAATGCATGGTTGGTAATATAGCCGTCTCTTTTCCTCGCAATCCGTAACTGCTATTTTGCTAACAGCGTATTCAGAATTGCGCTTAGAGACATAGAAATAAGGTCTATATTCTTCCGCATATAGCAATAAGTCGTGAAATTTTACGAGCTTGCATTTCGAACCGTGGTATCTCTTAGACTCATACGTTTTAAAATATAACGGTGGTTACAATTTGTTTACAACAAAATGTTAAGTTAACAAACAATGAAATTATTAATATTTTTTTAAATTAACCTATGGAGAAATACCAATTATAATTTTTGAAGAAAAAAATCATTCCTTAACTAATTATTAAAACAATCGAAATATAAAAAAAAAACAATTATCAACAATAAAAAAAAATGTGTGCGTGTACTAGTGTACACACGTAAGAAGTGAAACTTCTTTATGGCCTTATTTTTCGAAAACTGATCTACATGCAACTTTCCAGAAATTGGTTAAATAAAGTTAAATTAGATAAAGTTTAAACAAAAGGATTTTATTATCATAGACATGAATACAAATTACTGCCTATGAAACTGTTATGATTACACGGCTCAGTAATCTAAGGCACATGTTCCACCTCCGACGATGAACGATAAGCGAGTAGAAACTAGAAACGAATTGGCAGTCCTAAGTTAAAATGCACGCGCACGGCTTTTGACAGCCAAGCCAGCTTAACTGAGCGAGTATAGCTGAGCGAGTATCGCTGAGCTAGTATCGCTGAGCGAGTATCAACTATTAATATAAAAAAAGATGGCGCGTAACGGAAAAATGTGACGCGTAACCGAAAAATGTGACGGTAAATTTTTTTCCAACGCCGATAAAGAAGTTTCACTTCAAAAATATATTTATGATTTTTCAAAATCATTATTTTGCCAAGTCAACATAATGGTAAAAAAAATGTTTAAATATTAAACTTGTCTATTTGTTTATAAACACTTTCTTAACAAATGATGTAAAATTTTTTTCCATGTTATTTAATGCCATTGTTGGATGCAAAAACAGCAATAATATAACATTTGTTTAAAAAAAATTTTATAAACATTTCTTAGACTTCATTTATTGTTAACTTTAAAAAAATATTATAAACTAATTAATTAACTTTAATAAACTTTCATCGCGTGATCTTGTTATGTATATATATATAAGAAGAACTCCACAGAGCCTAAAATTTATAGGTTTATTATTAAAACTCATGTCGTCATTTATTAAAAAGGAGATTGGAAAAAAATAGCTAATTAACAATAGCATAACTTTTTAAAATTATTTTTTTTTCCAACGGACATATCTTTATTATATATATAATTCTTCTGTGAGTGTGTATGTCACTGAACTTCTCTTAAACGACTGGACCGATTTTGATGAAATTTTTTGTGTGTGTTCAAGGGGATCTGAGAATGGTTTAGATTCACAATTTTGTCCGCTGGACAACCCCTATTTTTTTAGGGCGGTACGAAGTTCGCTGGGTCAGCTAGTATTCTTATAAGTATCTAGATGATACCATAATTTATTCAAATTTTTAAATTAATATTTGTTACTATAAAAAATAATTTTATGTGGTACGCTGTCTTTAGCGGCAGAGCACTCATGCCGTAATGGCTGCGCGGAGCCCTATTTTCAGCGTTAAATTAAAATTATTAATAATAGAGGTAGAGTTCCGGGAGCTGGAACTTTTGTTTCGGAAATTTCCTCCTCTTTAAGGACCTTTCTTCCAAATATCGTAAATATTAATAGTTTATGAGTTATTAACATAAAAACTAAATACCTCTTTTTTATCTTATTTTGTTAATAACAATTGCATTTTTTTTACGTGCAGTAAAATCCTCAAAACTCCTGTTTCTAGAGGTCATTCCGAATCCAATGAGCTATTGCTCATATTTTTAGGAGCTTTATCTCTATTTTTCACGTTTTTAACTTGTTGACTGAACTATATAATACATAGGCTATAACACGCATTTCATAAAACCAATTGTTCCATGATAATACGAACTGCCTGTATTACTAGGATGTGATTTGTAATGCGTACATCAAACCGAGAAGTCAACATTAGATAACAAAGGGCAGAAAATGATTGGGTTGGATATATTAGTCGCATCGTATAATGTAATGGGACCGAGACTTGGGCAACTTGGGCTACAATGTGACATACCATTTTGATATTTAGAAATGAAGAATATTAAAAGCTAATAATACTAATTTAATCACGATGACGATGAGGTCAACGGTTGAGGTCATCGATAACCATCCATAAGTCTAAGTGAGTGTAAGTCGAACCATTTCAGAATCGTAATTTCGGCGTTATATGCATAATCACTGTTAGCCTTCTGTTCCTGTTGGATTCTGAGAAAAGTAAGGATACAATTTTTTTTCAGTGACATAAAGTATCTTGTCTTAAAACTAGAGAAAATTCGACATGAACAATTAGGGCCGCGATACAATAATGGTCAGTACATCCGCCCGGATAACGGAGGGTGCGGTTTCGAGTCCCGTCTGCTGCCTGGACGGCGTGGATTTTTTTTTTTTATTAAAATTTTCTTTACATTTTAATATCCAGCAGTTTAATGTTTAAAAAATAAATATATAGACTTTATATGACTTCTGCTCCGCCCCTCGCAGCCGATGCTCCGGGCCATGGTCCTCTTGGCCTAAGGGTAAATACGCCCCTGGTGGAGAGCGTGCTCGGTGTTCGATAGTGGAAGTTAACGAACTCTTGCATTGGCCAGGCCAGAGACAAGATGGGTAATTTTTCTCCTTTATGTTTCGGAAGAAATGTTGAGACATTGGTTTCGGCTTCATCTGCAATAGTTAATAACCTCCAATCCGCACTGTGCCCATGTGGCGCATCATAATGCAATCTTCCTATTCCATCAATAAAGATTGCCTGAGTCCCAGTAGTGGTGATATTAATGGGCTAATGATGAGGTAGTGTCTTTCCAACATTGGCAATGTAAAGTATTTGCTTACATATTTTACCATAAATATACCATTATTGCACCATACTTACTTTTACTTTAGTTTTGTACAATATTCAATGGAATTTGTTGTACTATTGTAGTGTAGAAGAACTAAATAAACTTCATATGTTTCCAGTGACTTTCTATCTATCATTCTAATTTTAGAGGTGTGTGCTCTGTATTGTGAAATAACTAAACCATAACAAGACAATGGCATTCTAATGATTACCCAGAAACTAGCATGTTAAATACAAATTACATTTCATTTTTTATGGAACATCAGCAGGTCTAGCAGTGTAATATATATAATAATTATGTTTAAATTTTCCTTATGAACTAGAAAACTGTGTCACATGTTGTGAGAAAGATATATTATTATGTTAAAGGACCTTCACCTCTTACATGTTAATGTAATTATGCAATTAAGAACTTGCTTGACTTTCACATAATACATACGTCATAATACATACATAACCCTTGCAGCGTATGTTCAGCGACAAAGGTTTTACCATAACAAAATAAATATTGGTATAAGCATACTTCAATGATTAAACATAGTATATAATAAATAACTATTTGGCTGCACTCAGACACATCAAATGAATCCATACTGATATTATTAATGACAGAAGTGTGTCTGTCTGTTTTCCCTTTATGCTTAAACTGCTGAACTGATTTAGTTGAAATTTGGTACAAAGATAGCTTGAGTCTCAGCAAAGGACAAAGGACAGTTTTTATCCCAAAAATCATCCTTTAGAGTGGTGAAAATGATGAATTTTCCAGACAAACGAAGATGCTGGTACCCAGTACTATAAATACAGCAAAGAACGTAACAGCTTTAATGAAATATTAAAGTTATGATGTTATTAAGTATGGCTGTTAGTATTGGCTTGGTCCTAATTATTTTGTCACGACAATAGGATGCCTCTTCATCAATTACAACAAATCCTGAGTTCACCCTGCCCTTTATGCTCAAGAAATTTTATTTATCAGACATAAAATTCTTCTAGTTTGTGTAAAATAATGTAAATTGTTTATAGAAAACTTGGAAATCTAATAGTAAGGTATGGTGTTCAAACTCTGTCTGTTTATTTACTTTCCTTTTTAACAACTTTTGCATATTCGGTTTATAATTTTGAAAATAATGATAAATACTTAATAATTTACGAATACAAAAATTTCTTACCTAATGTATAAGCCACAAACAAGTTCACAGCTGACACAGCCCACACCCAAGAAGGAATATGATCATTTGTGACATTCTCTTCTGTTAGGGCATGAAATCCATAATCATAGTAGGAGAATAGCAGGAAGTTAAATACAGTGAGTAGGAACCCAGCAAATGTTAGCAGGTTTGGGGCAATCCATATAGGACAAAACTGCAACATATTAATTAAAATTAATCATAAAAAGCTAATAGCATTTCAGAAGCAATATTTTAATGATGCAAGACAATAACAGTAGGTAATCAAGCAAGTTTAGTGGTTTATTTTATTTGAACCACTTAAACTACATACCTGAACACACCAATTCCAAAATGGATGCATAACATAATTGCTGAGCACGCTGGTGTCAATGGAATTGTACTGAAAAAAACATACTGGTAAATAGAAGAAAAAAATTAAATATTATTATTGTTCAATTAAATAGGTAAGAATTTCTTTTGAGTTGTTAAGTATGAATAAGATACGTCACTTTAAAAAGCATTTTAATTACTTAATTGATAAATTAAGAACTAAGTGATGTTATTAAAAAAATAGCCATACCTTGTATTTCTCAAATCCTTCCAATTTATCTGGAGTCAAGAATCGACCCATTATGACTGAAATTGTATATATCGAAAATGTAACATTATTATCACAATTGCTTATTGAATTTATTTCTAGTGTTCGTTAATTGTACCTACCTATATTTTGAAATTCCAGATAACCCAGAGATTTAAGTTTATATTTTTTGAGCAATACCGCTCAACCGGTCAGGGGTCATCACACGTACGTCTTAAATTGACAACTAAAATTGACAATTGAATTTGACTGACATGACATTAGCTGCGCTGCGTTCAATTAAGGTTCAATTTGCATCACACAACCATAGACATAGTATTAGATTGACGGAGAATTTCATATTAAAATCGTGGCCTTTTTCTGAGTGTGTCAGTCAATGAGCATGTGTTATAGAGAAGCGACAAAAGTTCATATTTGTGATTTGGGTTAACGATATAAAAATGAAATAGTTTTAAATTTTACATCTAGACGTGATGTATTATACCCAGATTAAAGATTTACTTCAAATACATTTCGAAATGTAAAATACTTATTTTCATTATGTATTTCAAATATGTAACTATTTCCACAATGCATATTAATTTATTGAAAATATTATGTAGGGTCGGGTGTCTCAGATTGAACCACGCAGCTACTTTTAACGAAAATCTTATTTGGCAAATGCGGCGTTGCAAAACTGTGCTAATATGGGTAAAAGAGAGGTATTTGCGTTCTATTTCTACCCACTGATTTGCGTGACAAAAGCGTGTGAATAGATTGTGTGAGAAGCATTTTGATGAAAATTGACTATAAAAGTATGTTTTTTCCGCAAATATCTTTCTTTTTCCACTTGTTTGGTTTAAATGATATGATACTAGCAAACCAGTGAACTAAATGTTCACCAATTAAAAAAAAATGTATTTATTTAATTGAGAACTTCGAAGATTTTGTGTGGTTTCGTTTGAAATTCGTGATTTCTCGAAAACCGGAAGTGCTACGTTACTCAAATCCGATTTGTAGTCTTATCAGACTATTCTTAACTTGTAACTTATACATTCTCTTTATCTATCTCTTACGGTTTGGCCTCTGAAACAGCACCACAGACAGACGGACGGACGGACGGACGGACGGACTTGTCTAATAGATAAGAGATGGTTTCTACAGTTTGTCTATAAAGTCGTGACATTAAATGATGGCGCCACTAGTATGCATGTAGCAACCTTAAATAGTCTGAGCAAAATGATTTTGATACTAGCAGTTCATTCAAGTAAAATAGGTAATTAATAAGACACACTACACAGTCGTATTTTCTTTCTGATTTATATATAGTAGGTACTTATGCTTAAAAAAAGTTTAGTCAAACATATTTAATTGAATCAGAATAAAATTATTATAGATAAAATAGTACTTTATAGTGTAAAAGTGTGTAATGTTGGTGATTACCGCTGAGGTGCCATTGAGACCAGAGCCGTTAGGTAATCATCAATACACACAAGTATCATCATACGTTTTTTAACACACTTGTTAAGAAAAAATACTAAAAATCATTTTATAGTATATAAAAAGTTTATTTAGAGAAACTATTTGTAAATGTGCAGTTAGTAAAATTAGTGATAGGTATCTTCACTAAAAGCATCTGGCCATGGTTCTTTAAGTGACCATTTCTTTCTTTGGTCGGCCTTGCCTGTTTTCCCAGGAGTTTAAAACTTTCCATCATTCTTAAAACCTTCGTTGATTATCCGACTCTCTGATTTTCCTGAAAAAAGGTAAAAAAATATGTAACGGAATAGAAACAATAACTTATTGACATGAAGCAATTAATTCAAAATTGGTAGAAAACCTGAACGAGTTGAACCATAATAACGTATCAAAAGAAATGGTCGTACTACAATATTACCTATTTACAATGTCAATCTAACCTAAAAATGTGCAATGTAAACAATGCCTTTTTGGGTCTCAAAATCGTAAATTGAGTAAATTTGTAACTTCAGGCAGATTACAAACAAATAGTTACATGATTACATACCCGTCATAGATGCTGTTCGCCCATAAACATCATCCAAATCCCACAAAATTCGTCCAGCTTGGTAGTCTTCGAAACATCGCTGGAAAACTTTAAAAATCACTTCCCGCGTGCCACTCCGATTTACTTTACCTACTCATTTTTATACCTTTCTGCGTAGTTTCGTCTTAATTTATTACAGTTTAATCCAAACAATAAAAAATACAAAAGGAAAACCGTTCCACAACTGAAACTTGATGACAGCTGATGTACATAAGTTTGGTGTTGCCAGACACATGAATAATATTAGTTCCTCAAACATTCATGTCACGACTTTATAGACAAACTGTATATGTTTACACTGTTTTACATAGTAATCCAGCATTAAAATGCACTATAATTCGTTACTCTGCGATATTATTTCCCAGGTAAAATTTTGAGGTTAGTTGTCGAACTGCTTAGAGCATTTATACCTGGAGAGAGCATGGACGGGCATACCCCTCCGCCAAAACGATCATATAAAACTAGTTCACGCAAGACCGCTACCACTTTAGGGTACGGCCAGAGTGCACTCAGATTCAGATTCAGACTCAGAAAACAAGCGCGAGAAATATACAGTGTAGTTTAAGCAGGTTGCCTGCTGCCACTATGGCCAGCCTGCTTTAACTACACTGTTTATTTCTCGCGCTTGTTTTCTGAGTCTGAATCTGAATCTGAGTGCACTCTGGCCGTACCCTTAGATCGTGCCGCAGCGTGAGTCGGAGCTCCCACAAAAATGAAAAATTATGTTGTTTTCCCACGCAAAAACCGATTTGCCACTTCAATCTTGCTGTTTATGATAAGAAACATGGTGTTTCCTATCATAAACAAGTATTTTTAAGTTAAAAAAAGTTAGTATTCTGGTATAAAATTCAATTAAAAGAAAAGGCCCGAAATCACGAATGAATGAAAAAAAAATAGGTAGAAATTCTTAGTGATGTGACGAAAAATGAATGAATGGTATTTTTTATACTGGAAAACATTCAACCAGATATCTGATACAAATAGCATGTTGATAAAACAAATATACATCGACAGATCTTATAAAAAAAACAAATATTCAATCATTCACGATCTATAACTTAACCAAACAAAGGTGTCGATTCTTGCCTGATTCTCTAAGCTTAAAAATAAATTTATTATTAGCATCTCCTTTTCTTTCTGTATAGAGGTTGACAAGGATACACTTGTCAAATTTAAGTTTAGAGAACGCTTCATTATTCGACACCGAAATCTTTCTCTCGACGTGGAAATACGATAATATGTTTTAAAAGTACTTTTTATATCGTTGCCGGTAAATAGCCACATAAAAAATATAAACAATAATTAAGTATCATTTCTGACATGCATAATTCTCTTAACTAAATTTAACATTAGTCACTCCTTTTCATTCTGTATAGAGAAAGAGAAGAATAAATTGTTGTCAAAAATTTAAGCTTTAGAGAATTATGCCGGAATCGACACCATAATTAACTTACTATTTTTTTTTGTTTGTTTATTGGTAATACAGTGGTGTCGGTTCTGGCATGATTCTCTAAACTTAAAACTAAATATAACATCAATCTCTCCTTTTCATTCTATATCGAAAATGACAAGGATACACTGTTGTCAAATTTAAGTTTAGGTTTAGAGAATCGTGCCAGAATCGACGCCATTGATGTAAATAGCGTATAGGTAGAAGCAAGTGAATCAAATTAAGTAATTAATTATCAGGTCAGCTGCCCACATCGAGCGACTTTTATTACCTTTTAATTAACAAACTTTTTTTAATAGCTTTCAAATGTCACATTAAGAGGAATATGCCATATTATACAAAAAAGGAGATAAAGACGATGTAGGAAACTACCAAATCAGTCTAATGTCAAATGTATATAAGGTGTTCTCAAAAATAATTCTAAATCGTTTTTCTAAAATATTAGACTTCTACTAACCAGTAAAACAGGCAGGGTTTAGATCTGGATTTGCAACAACAGACCATATGCACACACTGAAGCAAGTTATAGAAAAATTCCAAGAATATGGTCTTGCTTTATACTTGGCATTTGTTGATTACAACAAGGCGTTTGATTGTTTGGAACATGCACACATATGGAGTGCCCTGAAAAACCAAGGAGTAGGTCTTAAATATATACGGGTAATCAGGAGCATATACTAAAATAGCTCATTGCACGGGTAAAACTGGAGACATAATGGTGAAAGCTTTCCAATCCAAAAAGGTGTGAGACAAGGAGACCCCCTCTTGCTGTTTACAGCGGTCCTAGAAGAAGTCATGAAAACCATGGATTGGGGTGACTTAGGAATCATTATTAATGGCCAAAGTCTAAACCACCTTAGGTTCGCCGACAACTTAGTGCTAATTACTGATAACCCTGAATCGTTGCAATTAATGATGCAAGAGCTTGCCACAAAAAGTAGAGAGGTGGGGTTGACAATTAACAGGTCCAAAACCAAAGTCATGACAAACAGGTTAGAAACCAACATCTATCTCAATGAGGAAAAGTTGGAGTATGTGAAATCGTACATTTATCTCGGACAGCTTGTATTATTTCAAGACCAGATGGCACAGGAAATCGACAGAAGGATCGTTAATGCTTGGAAAAGGTACTGGTCTTTAAAAGATATCATGAAGAATGCCCACTACACCATATCAGTGAAAAGAAAACTCTTTAACACATGTATCTTACCAATACTAACATATGGTTGCCAGACTTGGGCCATGACACAAGCACTGCAAAACAAACTAAGAACGTGTCAGAGAGGCATGGAGAGAAGTATTCTTGGATACAGAAGGAGTGAGAAGAAGAGAGCTACCGACATCAGAAAACTCACAAAACTTGAGGATGTCATTCGAAAAAGTAGGAAACTCAAATGGAAGTGAGCAGGTCACGTCACAAGAGACGAAATACGGAAGTGGACAAGGAAGACCACGGAATGGATCCCCAGAACGAACACTTACCGTAAACGTGGACGACAGCTGAAAAGATGGTCGGATGACATAAGAAGGGTAGCTGACCCGCTATGACTGAGGTTAGCAAGGGATAGATCGAGGTGGAAAAGGCTGGAGGAGGCCTATGTGTCTACAGGACACGCTGAATTATAAGTAAAAATGTTAATGATGTGTTTTTTATGTAATTATCAGCAATAAAGGCTTTTGTATTTGTATAATAGTGCTTTTCATAAAATTTTAAGGAAAATTATAACGGTTAAGATAGATCAGTTAGTGTAAGAGTAGATAAAAGTCGTTCAACTATAAATAGTTAAATAAGTTATTTTTTCTTACCTTACATAAATTCTTTAGAAGAAAACAACAGAACAAACAAAAGTGACTGAGATGAAGATTTGCCTAAAATAAAGACCTTCTGAAATATATTGTAATAACGACGGCCCACTACGGAACCCTACACTACGCGTGGCACGACACGCACTTGGCTGGTTTTTCAGCATTTAAAAATATTTTAAATTAAACAATGATTCACTGTTTTGAGCACTTATGTATGGGGAAGCCCAAAGACTTATCAACCTGATAAGTCTTTGGGCAGTATGTTGATTAGTATCTTACAAAATAAGCTGATTTTACGACGATACGTAAAATAATTTGAAAGATCACATAATAAGAACAATAATTGACAGTTGCCCTGGAAAAAGCGAAAATGAGTTCTTCGTAAAAAATATATGAATTTTGGGGCAAAAGCGAAACAACGTTTTAAATATAAAGCCATGTGCGGTTCATTTTCCACAATTTTTTGGAAGAATGCTGAAATTCAGAAATAGCATCATCAAAAATCGGGGAACCTAGGAGAGGGAGTGATTTATTATCAAGAATTTTGATAATAAATAGGAGCTAAAGCCGAAAATTTTGTGACAATATGTTGTAACTGTTCAGGTAAAAATTTTGATAATGGAATAAATAGCTCGCATTTTGAAAAATTTAAATCAAGGCCAATACTTTTGAATTTATCAATAATGACGTGAAAATCTGAAAGATTTTAAAGTTAAGAAGTACGTAAGTTTTTGGAGTTTACTCCTTAAGAATCGATTTGCATATATAAGGGGCCCGGTATGAGAAAAATGTGAGGAGTAAAATCTATCGATGAATGACCTCGTTACGTTTTTGGTGCGCATCCTATGTCGCGCAATTTTGACAAACAAAGGTGACGGATTGACATTAATAAAAAATTTAAAATCTGAACTGAATTTAGATATTGTTTCTGATAGAGCAATGGGGACAACGAGGTATGGTACAACCATTGATGCGGTATTTTCAAGATTCGTGAACCACGTATCTACGAACGTCCATGAGTCTTATTTTAGTTACCATAAACCACTTGTCACTGTAATTAATAATGCAGACAATGTTGATTTAATTAATATTTAAAAAAAATGATAATATTCTGATAATAATAATTACATAATTTATCAACATTCCTAATGATATATTTATGCACATCTGAAATTGACTATTGTAAAAAGTTTAATGTAAAATATTTCGTCGATTAGTTATAATAAATGTATATGAAATGAATAAATATATATTTATATATGTATATTATTTTCATTAATTTGTTAATTTACCCTTTCATACAGTATCAATCTTTTTTAAGTTAAATAAACTCTTTTTGCGTCTGGTTAGACTATCGAACTTAAGGAGTAAACTCCAGTCGTGCGTCGGAGCTGACACACACATTTTTTTTAGGCAATTAAGTTGGCCCCGTAAAAGATATTGACAATATTTTCAGGAACTTCGCCGGATAGCATCAAATTAACCAGAAGAGTGATATTATGTAATCTGACTCTGCCAGTGTCACCGACAGAGACGCAAAGGTCTTTTATATGTTGTGGTGAAAGCCCATCTAGCACACTGGCAGAGCCACTTTTGAAAGATAATATTGCAGCTGAAATGTGATAGTCTTTACTTATTAAATGAGTATGTGTTGGATCAGGTGGCGAAGGTAGGAGCAGATTCGGTGCTGGAGGTGGGTGATTGTCTTCAAGAGTGTTAAGGGTCTCCTGGCAGTTGGCGGCGACAACATCGTTACTAAACAGGAGGTTGGCAGCTCCTCGGAGATCATCACTAATTTTCGATTCTGTGAATTTTACGGATTTATTACAATTTGGATGCCGAGAGGGAGGAATGACGAGAGAATGAACAGATGGATTTAAGCGGTAATTCTCCTTTATTTTTTGTGTTAATGAACAGCGACTGAATGTCGTGTAGAACGAGGGATTCTTTTTAAAACAGCAAGTGAACTTTTTAGATTGCCAAGAATTTTCCAAAGAGTTTGGTTGTCCGAATTTGAAGATGGAGATAGTGCTGGCACAGAGGCAGGGGATTTATAAACCCCGTCAATATGTATATTTAAGCCTCGGTTATCTTTAAAAACCCGAGGTTAGGAGCACTTAGGACAGTAATATACACTAACCAAACAAAAAGGCATACGAAACAAACAAGTAAAGTTAAAAATATTAATCACAACACTTAATAAACACATTAAATAATGCCATTTTTATGTTGACATGCGGCACGTCAACCTCGGACGTCACCAGTCACACGTTCGCTTCGTTGCTAAGCTGCCGGAACGAATTCGAGCATCCTATTGGCTGAGTAAAGGTGGGTGTCTAGCAAAATAAGAGGCTCTAATAGGCGTCCTAGAAAACAGCCAAAATCAACAATGATAGAAAATTTTCTATCTATACTAGCTGACCCAGCGAACTTCGTACCGCCCTAAAAAAATAGGGGTTGTCCAGGGGACAAAATTGTGAATCTAAACCATTCTCAGATCCCCTTGAACACACACAAAAAATTTCATCAAAATCGGTCCAGTCGTTTAAGAGAAGTTCAGTGACATACACACTCACAGAAGAATTATATATATAAAGATATGTAAAACTCAAAGTTGACTGACTGACATAGTGATCTATCAACGCACAGCCCAAACCACTGGACAGATCGGGCTGAAATTTGGCATGAAGGTAGATGTTATGACGTAGGCATCCGCTAAGAAAAGATTTTGATCAATTCTACCCCCAAGGGGATAAAATAGGGAATGAAAGTTTGTATGAAACTTTGTCAGTTTTAAACCGATCGGGCAGACTTTGCATGCAGGTATAAAAAGAATCATAGATTAGTGTCATTGTGTATAATACAAGCCTGAGAACAAAAACTGTAGTCTACACTTCAGCTCTACACCGAAGCGAAGCGAGGGCGGGCCGCTAGTCTTCTTATATGTTCATAAAAGCCAGACATTTATTATCTCATATCTTGCCCACATGCAGGGACGCGCAGAAAAGTCTGGACTGCAAATATATGGGCCACCTTTTTTCCAATTGTTATGGAAAATTATTTTAAAATTAAAAATATGATGAGACGAAACCTATAAAAACTATATTTTTTACCATTTGTCTGCGTCTCTTAGTCAGTTAAAAATCAATAACGAATGAGTTGTTTGAATTGTTGAGCTTGGAGAGATATCCAGCTCCCACCAAATAGAACTCACAGTTACGAGTACCAATGATGGGCCAATCGTGATTATTATCCAAAAAACAATATTTAGATATATAACTATAACATTATCAGTAAAATTACTAAATTATTATTAAATTAACTTAAAAACTTTCTAGGCAAGTAACTAGGTAGAACACGAAATAAATGTTTGGAAATCTAATGACCATGAGGATGAGTATCAAATTTTAAATGAATGAATTAATGAGTAAATAGGTTACTTGGACGTAAACATAATAGGTACATATTATTATCACAGAACTGATAAACGTTACGTCGATTGTTATGTTTTCTCAAAGGAGCTTCGTATTTGGCATGCATTTTAATTAAAACAGATTACAAGGGAAGCTCGTACGAGCCGGAACACTGTGCGGTTATCATTGTTACTTATACGAGTAATAACCTCTCGTAATACGATCATTTTTAAAATGTTGTTGAAATCAACGACTCTTCGGTCGAAGAGTCAGTTCATGAAACGGATTGCCTGCTATTCTACAGCCACGGTGAGTGCGGTGTCAATTAAATTGCAGAAGGATACCTTGTTTTTTACCCGGCTGCGCAATGCAAGAGCGCGAAGCGCGACGCGCAGACAGGGTTATGTGTTTAACAGTCTATATATGTATGTTTGTTCCTTTGTGGCACACTAGAGACCAAACGCCTGGACCGATTTTGATGATTTATACATCAATCGATTCGTCTCAATCATGGGAGTGCTACTAAAGATATGATAGTAATCAAAATTCAATATGGGCAAAATTAGACGCCATATTGTGACGAAGTAAAAAAAATAAGTTGACAAAATATGTCGAGTGGGGTATCACTGTCTAGATAATCTAAAATCATATTTAGGTTCCTAACACCATTTTTCATTTTATAAGATTGTTTAGGATCTACAACGCTTTAAATTTGTATATTAACCACTTACGCTTTTAATTTCAATCTTACGTTTGTATGGATCTTTGTTACTCTTTCACCTTAATAAATACTGAATGGATTTTGATGAAACTTAACAGTAATATAGCTCATATATGATAATTACATATATATAATAATTTATGTAGTTATTGAGTGAATTGGGCAATATATAACAATAAGTATCACATAAGACGGAAAAAAATCTCCCATCTGCGATTTTGGCCTGCACTGCAAAAACAATAAAAGTTACATGAATGTAATATAGAGTGAAAATGTATCTCTTAAATAGTTCTAAAAAAAAGTCCGTGACACCATATATCTATTTTTAATGTGTAAGTCATTACCGCTAAAATAGTGAAACTAAAATATTATTTGATATCTATTTCCAAAATGCACATTTTGTATTAACAAATCATTTTTTATCAAAACAAATACTTTTATCGCTTTTGATATTTAAAGATGATAAACTTTGCTTCTTACACTATGTCATTTCGACAAATATTTAAAAAGTTACAACGATGACAAAGTGATAGCGCGGTGTACTATGTAAAAGAAAAAAAAATCTGATCCTATACGAAGTACTAACAATAAAACTGTGATACAGTTCCTTCTTATTAAATGATGAAAAATATATTATCATAATAGGTATTTATGATTATTGTATGTTATATAAATGTATTATAATATTGGTTTTGTAATAATTCTGCAAAATTCAAAGTAAATAATGTAGATTTTTATAGGTAAATCACCCCTTTCATCACCCTACGCCTATAAGTATTGCGATGTTGTAGCTAAGAACCAAGTTCCCATGTACTTCTATATGGGAATTCATTATATTCGGTTTAGCTATTAGGGCACGGAAGCCCAACAAACAAACTCACTTTCGCATCTATAATATTATATTATACTTATTAGTGATCCATCCGGGCATTGTACGGGCGAAATTTATTTATCGGGATAAAATATAGCCTATGTAACTCGGACAAAATGTATTTAAATAAAGAAAAATGTTATAATAAATAACGTAGCTACCTTATGTTGAATTAGTATTTGAAACCGGTTTAGTACACTTCTGGACACATCTTTTGGCCCACCTTAGAGTTTAGGTTTCGATGGCCCCTACCGAAATATGATTGCTAGATTGAACAAAAACTGTTGATGCAGTTTTGAACCTGATACATTTTACCATCTTTTTCGATCGTATTGTTTTAAATTTGAATTCAGAATACCATACGACATGGAGCTACGCCTAACAAGTCGGATATGCGCCTTGTTAAAGGCAATTGATTTCTGAATAAAAAACATGTTTTATCAAATACAGGTTTAATTTAATAACGCGTGTTGCCTCGGTGGGCATCTACCACAGCTCTCATACGATTAGGCATAGAGTTTATCAACCGTTCTATGAAATTTTGAGGAATCATCTCCCATTCTTCTTCTCTGGCAGATTTCAACTCCTGCATCGTCTGGGCAACTGGCTGACGAGCCCTAACACGTCTTTTTAGCTCGTCCCACATGTGCTCAATGGGGTTCATGTCTGGGCTTCTGGCTGGCCAGTCCATAACTGTGATGTTCACATCCCGAAGATATTCCCTGACGATGCCGGCCGCATGGTCTCTTGCATTATCATGCATAAAAAGGAAATATGGGCCCACATAGTCCGCGTATGGTATCACGTGAGGTTCTAAGCACTCACGAATGTACCTTTCAGCATTTAATGTTGGCAGCCGTGGTCAAAAGCAACCCTCTCTTCAAAGGAGCATTGTACGAAATGCTCTCCCTTACGTCGGTAGACCTTCTTCCTTCCATCATTGCCATGTAACACAATTTTAGACTCATCAGAAAAGAGTACACGGCTCCAATCTTACTGTGTCCAATTTAAATGACTGCGTGCGAAATGAAGGCGCGCTGTTCGGTTCGCGTTAGTTTGGGCCCATTAGCTGGCTTGTGTGGTACCATATCGCGTTCTTTTAACCTTCTCCGAACAGTTCGAGCGCTCACAGATACTCCGTGGAAGTCGCGAATTTGTTTTTGTATCTCAATGGAGGTAAGGTGACGATTTCTCAAGCTGGTCGTCACGATGAATTGATCCTGCCTTTCAGTTGTGACCCGAGATCGTGGCCTTCCTTGGCGACGAACAAAGCCGCCAGTCTCTAGGTACCTCCGATAAACATTTTGGACCGCAGATCGACTTAAATTAAGTTGAGCACTCACGTTTCTTTGGCTGTGTACGGCCTGAATAAGTGCCACAGCTTGGGCGGCGACTTCAGGTGAAGTATCCATAGATTATTGATAGAACCTCACCTTAATGTTAAGAATAAGTAATGTTTGTTGCAAAATCAAAGATATCAATCACTTTTTCAAGAATTAAATCCAAGTAAACCAATAAAACCAAGTTTTCTTAGTATTCGATTGTTTGATATCAACAAACAAGCTCCAAATTGTCTTTTGTTTCTTTAAATTCTGTGTTTGAAATTCAAAAAAAGACTATGAATGAAATTGTGAATACGCCAGGTTCAAAACTGCATAAAAACTTTTTGCTCGACCTAATATAAAATTTTAGCTAGGACCAAACGAAACTGAAAATACAAGGTGGGCCAATAGATGTGTCCAGAAGTGTAGTTTGACAGATTATTAGTTATAAACATACAAATTTTGCCTCTTTATAATATTAGTATAGATAGTTAGAATAAGATAAGTATTTAATTGATGAAAAAGATTTAAAAATAAAGTAAGTAATACGTTTATTTGATTATATTTGTAAAAGTTACTTAGCATTTGTGCTTAACAGTGATACGTTACCGTCTTAAAATACTAACTAACTAAAAAGTGTGAAATAAAAAAGGTAAATTTAAAAAATCAAAAAACCCGACTGCTTAATTATACTTCAAATAAAAACTGAAAAGAAAAAAACAAGTCCAGTAAGTAGTCTATAATTCTGTTAATAAGGAACAAAGCTACTTTAACAGTCGGGACCCACTGTTGAAAAATATTATGTATTCTTGAATATCTAATGGGTCCCGACTGTTAAAGTAGCTTTGTTCCTTATTAACAGAATTATAGACTACTTACTGGACTTGTTTTTTTCTTTTCAGTTTTTATTTGAAGTATAATTAAGCAGTCGGGTTTTTTGATTTTTTTATTGCATTAATAGATATGTTCAAATAATATTATGAAATTATAGAATTTGTAAAAAAATATAATTTCTGATTTCAACGTCCATCTGTGGAAATAAACCAAATAATGACAGTTTCAGAAAACTAGAATAAAATTAATAGTGTTGCATTCCTATCGTCGAACAAATTTTACCAAGCTGTACGGGGCACTCAGACCAGCAAGTTGGGGATGGATGTGCTGTAGACTGTAGCTACATTATTTTTCCGCTGCATACTCTTCTTTTCGCAAATCCATTACTCTTATACCCATCTTACACGTAACATCAAAAGATGTGGGGTAATGTGCTACGGCTGTTATAGAAAAATAAGAAAAAAGACGGTTTGCCTAAATCTGCTTTAATATTGAAATTGTAGTTAGCCTCACACCATATTTTCCTATTTTCTTTGATATGTTATCACGAAATTTTAGGTGACCCAGACCTCCTCACCACCCTATGAAATTTCAAAAATCGAATTTCATATCAAATTCGAATTCAGGAAAAAAATGCGATAATATTTTTACAAAAAAACCTAGTTTGGAGAACTTGATTAAGTAATAGAACACATTTTTTAGACTTTTGTCTGTATATTTATTCGCGCATCAAACCAAAACTGCTGAATTAAATGCAATGCATTGATAATATGCTAAGAGAGTGTATCTCGGGGCAGCATTTAGTCTATATTTTATTTAAATCGGTGCACCCTATAAAATGCTGATTGATACGCGTTAAGCTACGTTTATAACGTTGTTCGTTTCATTTATTATGTAGTTTCATTGAACGTCTCACAAAGATATTTGTGAGTTTGAAGAAAAATAATATTTTTACTTTAAAAGATAATAGGTACCATAGGTAATCGGTTGGTAAAATAATATTAAAAATACGAAAAGTTTAGTTTGTCTCAAGAAAGTTTTGCATAAAATTAAATATTTTTTTTGATTTAAATTTATTTTAGCCATTATGAAATATGTATGTGTGATAAGTCTTAGTTGGTAAACCATGAAAGCATTTACTGGGATTTCAAATTGATGACAAAATAATCATGGAGGAGGCTGAAGTATCAGAAAATTTCGTTTATTCATAATGGAAAGTACATACAACAACTAATGCAAAGCATATTGCATTGTAAAAATCATCAATGTTTTTATAATTGCTCTGTGTACTTTAGAACATTTGACGTTTCAGTCATTTAGCGAAAGGAGAGTTTTAATGTCGTTAGGATAGGTGATATAGCTACACAATAAAATGAAAATATCCAATATTTTTAATATTTAAATAAAATAATAATATGTCTACATGAAATCTTTTTTTTATTGATTTTATATAATTATTAAAATTGTTTTATCACTCGTAAATTATATTTATTCAAGGCGGTAAGATAAATGAATAAAAAAGGTAAATTTAAAAAATCAAAAAACCCGACTGCTTAATTAT